AAATAAGAATAATCAAATCTAAAAAATTTAATGATTTATAAGGAAGAAAAAAGATATAGGTATAATAATTTATAGCGAATAACGTATAAATTATTGAAAACAAAAATAAATCTTGAAATGGGGCAACAACTTAACCAAGAAAACGTAAATGTATATGTATAAATTGAAAGAAAAAAGGTCTGTTAAATTTAAAATAGTAGAGGGATCGTTGCACCATTTTTTTTAAAATTTTCTGTAAAAATAACAAAAATTGAACTAATTGTATGTTTTTTTTTTCCTTCATCAAATTATTGTAGAAATTACATAATCATGTGAAATTACATAAAAAAAGTTAGAACTAATTCTATAACAAAAATAGAAATTACATAACCATGTGAAGGCTCAAACACAAGTGTTGGGGACTAGAACTTCCACTCCACTGAGCTAAGGAGAAGCATGTTGACTTATACTAGGTTTTTAAATACTAATAATATATATATATATATTTAAAAGTTCACGAGGGTTTGAGTCCCCGAGCCTACGATAAATTTCTCCTTAATGCGAGCAATTCAGATGCTACTTGACACATTAAATCCAACATGCTAAGAAAATTTTATTTGCTTATCAACAAAATTCATTTATTTTAAATGATATGACCCATGTAATACGTCCGTGTATCTAAATATGTTTAAAGTACAATAATTTAATTATAAAGGTAAAAGATTATAGATAATTTTTTTAATAAAGTCAAGAATTTTAAAAGATTTAAGAACTATAGAGAAAAAGGTAAAAGATTTGGGCCGATTTAATATATTTGTTTAAATAATTGTTTATTGATGTAAAAACGCAACATATTTAGAAATGAACATTTATCTTTCTTTTTCTTTTTTTACAAACATTATTTATCTATTTATTTCCTTGAGAGAGATAGAGAGCAAAAATGTGTGTGGAGGGGCCCAAGTGGATAAAGTTAGTAATTATTCGATTATCAAGTAGTTGAGATTTATAAATTTAGATGAAATTATGAGTTTGTATTTATCCATTCTTCTCGAAGGTCAAATCTTTGATATAAATGGTTTGAGAATTCTTTTTCAAAGTTTAGGATTTTTTATTTAAATGTGATTCGAAATGAAAACATATATTTCTTTTCCTAAACACTTTTAGAATGAGCGTTTGGCACATTTTAATATTTCTAGAGTTTTCAAAATTACTTTTAATTATCTAACTAGATATAGTATAAAAATTTTCAAAGATATATTTTTAATGGGCTAAATACACTTCTCATATTTTCAAAAGTAATCTTAAACTTATATTTACTTCAATAGATCATTAACTTTTTAATTTTTTATTTCATTAAATTGAATCATAAATTTGAATAAATAACAAAATTAATATTGACATTACGAAAATTTATACCTTCAAAGTGGAAAAAAACAACAATACAAGAAATTAACTAAGCCACAACAATGTTGATCATGAGCTAATTTCTTGTAATGTTGTTTTTTTATTTATCTTGGCTGGTTTGGGGTCTCACGGAATAATTTTAAGGTCTTGGGTTCAAGCCACATACGACACAACTTCCATCAAACGATGACTCATTGTGTATGGGTATGAGAACAATGCGCATATCCCAAGTATAAAGTTATAAACACAAAAGGGTCGCCGACTCCGGGGTAATTAAAAAAAAAAAAGAAAAAAAAAACCATTTTTGTGGCTATGCGTGGGAGATTATTTTTTTGAGTTTCATCATAATACATATTGCAAATGAAGTGAGGTAAACCTACCACAGGGACGTTTTTTCCCCGTACCATTACAAACTCATTTTTTGCCACAAACTATATATTTACAAAATACTATGTTCCATATTTTTAGAATAAAAATCCATTGCAAATACGTTTGAATAACTATTTTTGTAATTATTTACTTTTCTTTCGACGTATTCTCAGTAAAATTTTAGTAATTTTAAGATGTATAGCAACATCAACACATTTTGTTCGATTGGGACAGCCTCATTTTTAAATAATTTTTTTTTAAACATCTTTGTTACCGAATATTGATTCAATATTGATAGTGAGAAACTCTATAATCAATAATATGTTTGTTTGATGATTAACCTAGGTAAGGATTGAAATATATCACTCTATAATAATCAATTGATTACTGAGCATGTTTTTTAAGAAATGTGTTAATCATTCATTCACTAAGTGATATTTAGCCATTTGTTTTTTGTTTTTATACAGTAATCGTTAATCTATACAATCGATTATCGATCTATTATTTTTTTCAGAATATAGCGGCATCACAGATGAAGATAGAAAATTTTAAGCTTCAATCTAAATTGACGAGGATGTTGATTAAAGGTAAATTCCTCTCTCATTGTTGTATAAAAGAAGAAATCTCTTTAGATCTCTATTATATTTTATAAATAGAAACATAAATTTATTATTATTATTATTATTTAAGAAAACTAAGTTTGAGAAAGCATAATCTAATTGTTGTGAGAGAGTCCCACATGATGCAAAGGCTAAGGTGTGTAGTGGTGGGATCCAAAACAATTTAGGCACTCAATGGGACCCCTTGGATTAAATTATTTACCAGCATTTCATCATATTCATGAGATCTCCTCCATGAAAAAAAAAATTAATTAAATTAAAAAGGAAAAAGAAAAAATAAAGAAACACCATCATGGGATCAACCTTATTAAGATTTTGGCCATATATCCCAAAACTCTTTTTGTACTCTTTCGCTCTTGTTTTCTCACCTTTTCCCCTTTTCATTAAATTATACCAAATTTTCTTTTATTTGAGTTCTCGAACAGTCGAGAGATTGAAGCTTCAAATTTAGAGAATATAGTATAGGCGAGATAAAATTTTTTAAAGTATATAATAATTAGTTTTAATTTTATAACATTGTAAAATTTTAAAATTTACCCTCATTGGCAATTTTCTTTAATTAGCCTAAGGATATTAAAAATTGGGGTGGAATGACAACTTGAGTCAAAATTGTCAATTAGAAGTATAAAACTAAGTAATAAATTAAAACACTTATTTACCTTTCTTTGCCTTTCTTGTAATCAAAGCTTTGACTTCCAACTCTCATATTTATTGAACTAAAACGAAATCAATTACATAAGTTGAACATTGTGTATAATAATTTAGTTAATTTCAACTTTGTTCCCAATTGACGTGGTTGGTTTCAATCTAAATTTACTTTAATCTCTTAAATAACTTAGGCATTTTAACCTTTTTCAGAGAGAGAAGAAAATTAAAGGCATTTTAACCAAGTTTCCAACTTATGTAATTACTTTTAACGAATAAAATGATTAGGGTAAAATTAAAAGTATTAAAATATTTTTGAAGAACTAACTAACTATATAGATTAAAAGTATTTTTTAAAGTTGTATAAACACAGGGCGTAGGACTGAACCTTAGAAAATGTTATAGATTATGTCTCGTCATAACACAATTTAATTTTTTTCATTTTTGTACCATATTTTTCAAAGAATTTAATGGTAAAAAAGAAAAAATACTTTATCCCAAAAAATCCAAAACTTAAATTTAAATAATTAGTTTTTGGAATTATAATAATTAAAATATCCATGACTTGAGCACAAAATAATAAAATTGATTATGATTGGACTCGATAGAAGCTGAGGTTAAGATTAAATTTAATCTTTTCATCCCTATATATTCTCTACTAAACTTTGTTTCTTTATTTCTTTATTAGATTTTTTTTAGATCATAATTATGCCCTCGTGCTTGAAAGCCAATAGTTTTTGTGCTTTTTTTTTCCATTCTAAGTGTAAAGATAAAAGATTCGAACTTCTGGTCTGTTAGATCGATGATATATATTTTAATAAGTTGAGTTATGTTTAAGTTGACAAAATAATATGTTTATACAACTTTTGATTATATATCCAGTGGATCTAGTTTAATTCAAAGTTGTTAATTGTTTTTCTAGAACTATGAGAAATAAAAAAATGTCTAGAAAAAGTAGAGGTATTTCACTTTATGTTTAGATTTCACCAACTTCACATCTAGGTTTATTTTAGAGAAATTATATTAAAGCAAATCTACCATCATTCAATTGTCCAAGTTACATACCCAAATGTTAGAATTTTCTTTTACTTTTGATAATTTGCACTTGATTTGATAATCATTTTATTTTAAGTTTTATTTCTTTCACCATTAAGCTTTTGAAAATATTTATTTTCTAACTTCTTAAAAACCCTTCTAAATTCTTCTTACCCTACTTATTTGATTACTTTGTTTTTTCTCTATAGTCTTAGACGTTAAATTAAAAATAGTTTTCAAAATTGGGCATATTAAAAGTTAATTGAATATCTTAAAAGTATATTCTTAAATAGTGAAAAAAAAATAGAGGACAGATAAGTAAAGAAACATAATAAAAATCGTTATTAAATGAGATACTAATTAGTAAATTCAATTATATATATAACAAAAATGTAAAACCAAAATTAGTAAGTGGAAAACTAGGGCACCCAAAATTAGAATTTCTCCAAACAGTGGATTCAAAGGAGGGAGGGAGGGAGAGAGAGAGAGAGAGATTTCCTGTAAAATTTTACACAACAAAAAGGATGTCCATTGGAATTTGGACAGTGGGACCCACATTTTCCCCCACTCTTTTTCTTTTTCTTTTTTTTCTTTTCAATATTGGACAGTGGACCCCACCCATCACTCTCACACGTGTCAAATTTCGATTCTGTCTTCCACTCACACGTGTCGCCTCTTTAACGGCTCCAGTTATACTTCGCATCAGCATCAGGTGCTTATCGCCTGCATCATAATTCTCTCGCCACCTCACACCCCATCTCCAGTTAAGCCACAAATCCAGGCCTCCAAAAGACTAAAATACCCCTCTCTCCTGACGTGGCCGTCTCCAATTGGCTGCCTGTGAAACGCTAACATAATTCCGGCCGCACCGGATCCTTCCCGTCTCTTCATGTCCGTTTAAAAGATGAGCTTTGCCTGTTTTGTGCAGCATTTTGAGTTACTGAAAAAACCATTTTTCTTCTCCTTTCTTTTCTCCCTTCTCTTTCTTCTACGTTTTTAACCAAAAAACAACAACATTCACAGTGATCGGAAATTGATCTGAATTTTGTCTCTCACTCTCTCCCTGTCTCTTCCAATCATGGAGAGCACCGACTCGTCGGCCGGTCCACAGCAACCGAATTTGCCCCCCGGCTTCCGATTCCACCCTACCGATGAAGAGCTCGTCGTTCACTACCTCAAGAAGAAAGCCAATTCTGCGCCGTTACCCGTCGCTATCATCGCCGAAGTCGATCTCTACAAGTTCGATCCTTGGGAGCTCCCAGGTATTCAACGAATTGTACTTCGAGTTATAAATTTAATTTTAAATCATCACTCGGCCTAAAAATTTAAAACTAATCTTTAGTCGTGATATGGTATTGAATTAATGCTTAAATTAATAAGTTAGAGTAAATTTTATTTTTATTCCTATTCTTTTGATCGATTACAATCAAGTAAATTACGGTTGAATTGATGTTAAAAAAGCTGAGTAAGAAGCTAAACATGAGTTTTTCTCTTTTTCTCCTTTTTACTTTACGAGCAGCAAAAGCTACTTTTGGAGAACAAGAATGGTACTTCTTCAGTCCTAGAGAAAGGAAGTACCCGAACGGAGCTCGGCCGAACCGTGCAGCGACGTCCGGTTACTGGAAGGCGACGGGCACGGACAAGCCGGTGCTGGCCTCGGGCGGAAACAACCAGAAAGTCGGCGTAAAGAAGGCACTGGTGTTCTACGGCGGAAAGCCCCCCAAAGGGATCAAAACCAATTGGATCATGCATGAATATAGATTAGCTGACAATAAGCCCAGCATCAATAAGCCTCCTGGGTATGATTTGACCAAGAAGAACTCATTGAGGGTAAATTTTCTTATTTTTTTTTTCCTTTCTTTGTTTGAATTACACCTGTTAACTTTAATTTTTGGGTGTCTTTTTTTGTTGGTTGATAGCTTGATGATTGGGTTCTATGCCGAATTTACAAGAAGAATAATTCACATAGGCCAATGGATCATGAGAGGGAAGATTCGATGGAGGATATGATTGGATCAATACCCCCTTCAATGAGGCTAAATCAATACCCCAAATTGAGCATCAATTACAGCGCTGCATTGCTTGAAAATGACCAAAACTTGCTTGAAGGACTTGTGGGTAATGATGGAGGAGTTAACGCTACCAATTCCCCCAAGCCCGACCTCGCCGTCGCTCTAAAGCGCCCAACGCCATCGTCGCTCTTCTGGACCGACGACGAGGATCATTCCGGCGTCTCGTCGAGCAAGAGAATGCATTTTGAAAACAGCCCCAACGGCCAAAACTCCACCACCTCTTCCCTCGCCACTCTCCTCACAAACCTCCCTCAAACGCCGCCGTTGCACCACCACACGACGATGATGGGGTCGATTGGAGATGGGCTTTTCCGGCCAGCATACCAGATTCCGGGTGCAAATTGGTACTCTTAGGATGATTGATTATATGATATATGATCATCACCAAGTGGGGGAAGAAGAAAATTAAAACCAATCAGGTAAAGGTACTGATTAAAAACACCCACACCCACCAGCCTTAGCTTAATTTGGTGTATAATTTATAAAG